CAGTCACACATTAAGACTTGTTTCGCTTGGTCCAGGGCGTGGGGCACGTGCAAGGAAGAAATGAGAGGGAAGCTCTCTTCTGCCTCTAACACAACACAGTCTCCAAGTCCTACCTCATGGTGCTTCAAGCTCAAACCTTCCCCTGTTCCATTCTCACCAGCCAACGCTGTTTTCATATTGCACATCTAACAGCAGGCTGCTGTGCTTGTCAGTGCGAGAAGAATCTCCTTCATATTGTCATCTGCAGGCTTGATGAGGGAGGGGGAGAGGGACCAGACACGCCATTGTTATTTAGTCTCCTCTTCTGTGCTATGCCATGGGATGAGGTCGTCAGTCATTCCCCGCTACCTTTGAGCTGCCATGTGGGAGAGTGTGGATGTGGAACATTTCTGCGGCCACAGAAAGTTCTCTAGGGCAGCTTGTTCTGCTTAATATTTTAATATGGTCATGTGTGATAAACGTAGTCATAAATCAGTTGTGTGCCTGTGGTTTTATAGGACATAGATACTGAACATTATTTTACTGTGGTATAAAACACGTTAACTTGTACTCTTTCTTCCCCGGTAAACAAATTAGCCCAACAATTAAACTCTTGATTCTCTGTGACAGCCCGTGGTGGAAACTTCTGAGGTCAAAGAAAAGTTTTCGGGAGAATCAGAAGGTGTGGTTCTCAAGTATTCATCAATCATTTTTTAAAGGTTTTTTTTTTATTTTTTAAATTTCTTTTCAGTGTTCCAGAACTCATTGTTTATGCACCACACCCAGGGCTCCATGCAATACATGCCCTCCATAATACCCACCACCACCAGTATTTATCAGTCTTACTGTTTTGATTAGGCTGTAAGTCCATCATCTAAAACACATTTAAAAAATGGAAACTATGCATATTATGCCAGTTTCTCAGAAAGCCAAAGCAAATAATATATATACTTATTTATAAAGATTTATCTATTAGAGAGAGAGAGAGCACATATGCATGCAAATAGGGAAGAGGCCAGGGGGGAAAGAGACTCTGTCCCTGCCGAGCGTGGAGCCCGATGCAGGGCTCCATCCCACCACCCTGAGATCACCACCTGAGGTGAAACCAAGAGTCAGATGCTTAACTGACTGAGCCACCCAGGTGTCCCAATATCTATCCTTTTTCAAAAGGGACTTTTCCTCAATATATTATGACTGTTGTTAGTGATTTCTGTAATTCCCTGAATCAAGAAGGGAGAATAAGGGAAGGGGGGAGACTTGACTAAGGGTTATGCTAACTGGACAAAGTGAGTGAGAAAAACTAAAGATAATGACAGAAGCACGATGCTAAGGAAAGCCTAGGGACATTTGAAATGAACACAGTGACTCACACTTTGAGGGGCCTGACTGCTGGCCGTGCTTTTGACTTCGGGGGGTGGGGGAGGGAGCGAACTTCCGAATGAAAAGAATGTACTTTACTTTGTAAGATCATTACATTATTAGAGTCAGCCTCCTGGCTTATGATAAAATAATAACAATAAATGACAAATAAAAATTAACTGACAGCTGTGGTGGAGGGAAGAGCAGTCAGCAGGTGTGTAGGAACATCTTTTAAGTCGTGTTCAGAAACATGAGCAGTTTTGCCTGCTGTCCACCAAGCCCTGCACGGTGAGGTGAATCCTTCCTCCAGACTTTTTTTTTTTTTTTCCTGAGAAACCTTTTCACAAAAGGTTCCACCCTAGGAAAGGTTCTGAGGTCAGATAAAGTCTGCCACGCGCTGTGCTTTGTGCGTTCGTCACGGGGTCACAGCCACACTGAATGTCCCGCCCTGAGAGGACTTGCTCGCCTACCTTAATGTAGCCTCACCCAAAATGACTGGGCTGAGGAATCCCAAGTATCGGGGCTTGACACCTTTTCATGGCTTGCCATGAAAAGGTGTTCTGCAAGACATACTTAAAATATGCTTGATTAGCCTCTGAGCAGAAAAACTGAAGCAACCAAATCCCTCAAAGAGCTCTACGGCTTTATAGGAAAAAGTCCATATTTTTAGGACGTTGAAGGATCCAGGGATGAGTAGCATGATGTCTGCAAATCAATGACAAATGACTCGGCTGAGCATACAAATGTATCATATATGTGTATGTACACACACACACACACACACACACGCACGGAGAGGGAGCGCACTCAAAATACAGGAAAATGTTCACAACTGGTGGGGCGCCTGTGTGGCTCCGTCGGTTAGGCGTCTGCCTTTGGCTCAGATCGTGATCCCAAGGTCCTGGGATTGAGCCCCACATCGGGCTCCTTGCTCAGCGGAGAGCCTGCTTCTCCCCTGCCGGCCGTTCCCCTTGCTTGTGCTCTCTCTGTCTCTCTTGCTTGCTGTCTTTCTGTCAAATAAATAAGTAAATCTTTAAAAAAAATGTTCACAATAGGTGAACTCTATAGTAAAGGACGTAATGTGTAATACTTTTGACATATTTCTCGAGTTCTGAAAACATATTCTATTAAAAAAAGGGAAGTATTATAAGCCCAAGCACAAGCTGAGTTGGTTATGCTACATGAAGGGGTAGTAGCCCTGTGGAAGAGTTGATTAGGCAAGAAAAAGGATTTTAAGATCCAGACAGAAGTAAAGGGAGCAGAAGGCTCACGTTCTTGACCGGAGACAGTGATGCAGCTGGAGAAAAGCATTCAGGGCATCTTCTCATCGCCCTGCCATTCCTTTAGGAGTTAGGGCTCCAATTTCAAAAGTCTGAACCTCAGACCGTCAGTCAGGCTAATGGGACTATTGCCCAGAAAACTCGTCAGGGTGGTGCTCTCACTCCCGTCCCGGGCACTCCAGACCTCAGCGTGGCACAATGGCACAGTGACGCAGCCAAATTAGTGGGGAAGCCGTCCTGAACAGGGGGTCTCAGGATGGACCTGAAAGCCCCAACTTCTTGACCCAGTAATGCCAACAGCTTGAATTTGCCATGGCCGGGGCTGGCCCGACCTTGATCTTCCTTAGACGGACTATTGATCCCCAGCGCGCAGCTGGCTCTGGGAGGCAACGTGTACTAGGTGGCGTGTCATCTCGTGCGCTTCTTGCCACAGACGTGGGCATGCCGTGTCTTCTAACGAACTTCTCAAGGACTTTGCTGAAGGTTGTAGCACACGGAAGAGTTCCCCAGTCTCGGGATTGCGCCTGGCTACATCATTTGCTGAAACAATATTGCAAACGTTGCTATTGCCGGAAAGGAGAGAGAAGAGTCATTTAACTTCCCTCCGTTTCATAGATGCAGCATTTCCTATTGTAAAGCTGTTGCTAATATGCGCTTTCAACAATGCTGGCATCTTCGCCACCCAGGCTCCCCTTTGTAAGCTTCTCCTTTTCCCATTCCTGTTCCTCCTCCTCCTTTTTTTTTTTAATTGATTAACCTTTACAGCAGTAGGTTATAAAAATTGTGAATTGCATTTGTTCCTATTTCTGATAAAGGTTTTTGCATTAAGGATTCCTGCTCCTTCACTAAGCTCTTGGTACAAAGGAAAAATGTCAGTCCTTGTGGTCTTCTATATTCTATCCGTTGTCATGGTATTTCTCTAACTATAATATATGGTTCTATCCATTGCATTTATGACATATAGAAAACCTTAAGACTATATCTTACATAATTATTACATTTGCAAGTAACAATGTGATATTTATAGACTTGAATGTCCTGCACAGTAAGGCAGTAAAGCTACAAAGAAGCATCAGAAAATGATAGTTTCTTATCACTAGAAACATATGTTTATATATTTTATCTTCCTTTCACAGTAGAAGCTAAATATTAATCTCTGGAGAGTAATAATTATAAAATATATTGGTAAGAAATGATAAAATTATGTTTAACATTTTTATTGTGCTTTACATTTTACAAAGTATTGTCACTTACAATTTTAGTAAAGATGGCTGAAGAAATGATAATTCAATATGCCTACAGAGGTTTTTTTTTCATATAAATTAGTAAGAAATCAATGGAGCTGCATAAGACTTTAGGGTCTTTCTTTCTCATTATTTTGTGCCATTTTTAAAAATAAGCCATATTTGTTTGGGATACTGAAGGTTTTCACTCATAATAAAATATTCCTTACTAGTTGCACATAATCTTGACGCTCATAGTAAAATTGTAAGCAAAATCCATATTCCATGACATTTTATGTAACCCTCACCCAACATGAAGTGAAGGTGTAAGGATTAAAAGAACTAGTTAGTAATATTATACATTTAAAAAGGCATTTATTAGCAAGTTCTTTGCAGAAATGACAGTGGGGCGCTGCTCTGAAAGGTGCCTCTAATGTACGGAAAAACACTGTTTCTGTACGCTGACATTTGAGAGAAGTGATGAAAGATGTTTAATTATTGATTTTTTTTTTTTTTTTTGGTTCAGCTTTTCTTCTTGTGTTGTTCGAATGGCATTTGTCTAGGTAGAGAATACTAGTGAAACACAAAACCGTTTCTGTACACCACTGCCGGGCTCTGTTTAAACCCCTCGGGACTCTCGTCTTACTTTGTGTGTGACTGTGTGTTGGAAAGACTTCATTGGAACCCAGCAAACGGTGATGTCAGCCATAGCACAAGAAATGGGCTGGTATGTCCCTTTAGATAAGATTTTAAGAGGAATAGCCAGAGCCTTCAGAACTGTGTACAGAAGCATGAAATGGAATTCAGGAGCAGTGGTCTTTAAATTTCCAATAGTCTCTACATTTCCTGTCCTTTTTACAAACTTGAGCGGCACAGAATGCATTTCCATTCCCCATGTTGCAAATACACTTGGCCGGCTCTCCGGGCAGCAACGGTCGCTCACTTTGCTGAGGAAGTCACAGGGCTGTTGGCAAGAAGAAGGAAAGATTCTCACTCTTGAGCATAAGAACAGATTTCCTAAATTAAATTGTTGTATCCTCATCAGAATCTTTATCCCACGAATGTTTCAAAATGCTTCTGGGGGGATCATTTTAAAATTGGTCTCAATTTGGATTCACCATTGATTGACTACTTTCTCTCTTCCTCCCCTCACCCCCAGCAGGTAGACAAACCTACAACAGCTTTTATGTCTATTGCAAAGGCCCCTGTCGGAGAGTACAGCCGGGAAAACTCCGGGTACAGTGCAGCACCTGCCAACAGGCGACGCTCACCTTGGCCCAGGTAAGGAGCTTGGTGTTGGCAGAGACTGCCCAGAAAAACCGAATGTCTGTTTCCAGAGCTGCCTTTTGGGGTTGCTAATCAGAGAAAACCCATGACCGAAAATAAAAGATACTGCTGTGCGTTTGCAATGTTAATGGGATCCGGAGTTTCAGTTACAAATGCATTGTTCTGTAGCACGTTAGGTAGTGCTCGGCCGTTGTCTCCGTGCGCTTGTGCAGGCCTCCCTAAAAGCATCATCAAGAGCGTGTCTGTAACAAAAAGAGGTTAGTCTTGGGGGGGCGGTGTCTTTGAGAAGAGGCCGGGAAGGAGCCTTCTGAGACACTGGAAGTGTGTCATGTCTTGATAGGTGTGACCAGAATGCAGTTCGATGCTTGGACTGTTGATGGAAGACGGCACACTCCAGACTGCACTAAGTCCTATCTCAGTAAAGGTGTGGAAAGGAGAGTCGTGGACTGCCCACGGTGTGCATGTGGAACCAAGGCCGGCAAGCTGCCATCTGTGGTCTCTGTTTGGATTCTGCCGTTCATGAGCTAAGAATGTTTGTGCATTTGTAAGTGGCTGGGCAGTATCCAAAGAGTAATGCTGGGTGGCCCGTGAATGCGCTCTGAAGTTTAGATCCGGTCTCCGTGATGACGCCGTAGCAGAGGGCAGCGCCGACCATCTCCTGACGTGTTGTCATCTGCGCAGCTTCCGTGCCCAGGGCGGGGCTCAGTAGTTGCCTCCCGGACTGGATGCCCTGCGGAGCCTGACCTATGTGCTTCTGGCTCCTTCAGGAAAACGTGATGGACCCTGATATGAACCATGTGCACAGCTAAGGCCATGGCTTCCTCGTGATGGTTGTGTAGGATTTAGCTAAAGTTGATGCAGACGTGAATGTGCGTGAGTGAGGAGGGCATTCTTGTTGGCACGATCAAAGGTCAAGGTCAGGGGTCTTCAGGTGATGGGGGGCTGAAGTGGGGTCAAGGACCCCCTTACTACCAGGCCCCTATGATGGCTTCATTTATATTTTTATTCCATAGGCAATGGGGAGCCAAGAGAAAATGTTAGAAATAAAGGCAATCTGTAAAATGACATTTTAGAACCTTTATTAGTGCTGTAACCGTCTGTCATTGGGACTGAAGTTGGTGACAGATTGAGGGCAAAGAGGTTAATTAATAGACACTTCCTGTGGTTCATGCAGGAGGAACTGTGGGCCTAGGTCGGGGTGGTGGCCCGTGGAAAGTTGTAACAGAGCGGCGTGGAAGAACACGAAGGATACACACAATAACGGAGGAATCGAGGATCCTGGCCTCCAGCCTGGGGAAGATGGTAGAATTACTCAAAAACACAGCCTAGTGTTTCACTATGATATAACCTCTCTGCTACCCAGGCGAATGCTGGGACTGCATTTAGGGAGACAAAGCTTATGAGTGATCCACTCGACCGGACCTCTTTCTGGGGGTGTCGCTGTGCAGTGCTTCTGTCTGGGAAATGTGCTCTTAAGATCCTATAGAAGTTTCTCTTCCACTGGACTCTTTCCTCTGCCATAAGCCTTTTCCAATGCACTGAACAGCCTCCTCTGTTTTTCTGGTCTGTGCTCCAGTCTCGATCACCTCACCACTTTGAATTGTTCTTAGTGAAAACAGTCATAACAAATTATCATTGAGCCCCAAGCTTAATTATTTTCATGCATTATCTAATGTATTTATTTCATAACACTCTAAGGACGGTCAGTGACCTTATTTTAGATTTAGGCTTAAAGAGATTAAGGAAATGAGCTTGTGAGACTCGGGGTTTGAACTGGTCTGTGTGATCTAAACTTGTATCTCCCCATTTTTTTTTACCACACAGGCATGTTTGCATCGAGTGTCATATGCTCGGATATCCCCAGTGATCAGGCAGCTGATTTAAGACTTAGGTCAGAAGTATGCAATTGGGGGGCAGTGAGGACCATGGTGGGGGCAGACCAAGGCCCAGGTAAGGAGGCTGCTCCTGCCAGTTTGTTAGCAAGTGGTGGTTGGGGGTGCCTAACGTGGCCAGTCTTTTATTTCATTAAGAGAAACCATAAATATGGATTTTTTAATGTGAAATTTCTCATGTAAAAATACACCCCATGTAGGGGGAAAAAAAAAACAGAAGGCCAAAAGAAAAAGCAACCTGGAGCATCTGTCTAAATGCACATCGTACCATACAGGTGAAATGGTGCGTTACCGTTAGGTGCTTGGAGAGCCTGTTGTAAGCACTTAATTCCAGTGAGTCATTGCTAAGAAGCTGTACGCTGAGAACTTAAGAAGACGACTGTCCAGACTCTCCATACTGCTTGGGTTAGAATTCCTACATCATTATTTCCCGTCTGTGTCAGGTTGGGGACTTCTGTTACCTGGGCTAATGGTATCTACTTCTTATTTCTTGTAAAGGTTAGTTACTATATGAAGAGTATTTAGAACAGTGGCTAGAGGGGCGCCTGGGTGGCTCAGTTGGTCAGGGGTCTGCCTTCAGCCCAGGTCATGATCCCGGGGGCCTGGGATCCAGCCCCGCGTCAGGCTCCCTGCGCAGAGGGGAGTCTGCTGCTTCCTCTCCGCCCTCCCTCCCTGCACATGGGCTCTCATTCTCTCTGTCTCTCAAATAAATAAATAAATAAATAAATCTTAAAAAGAAAGAACAGTAGCTGGAACATCAATAATTAGATATCTTAAATGCTTTCTTGTTGTTACTTGTTAAATTATTATCCATGAGTATTTAGCGCACGCACACACACACGCACGCACGCCCGTGTGCACATGTTTATGTCCTTCACCGTGAAATCAATCCAGACTTGGGCTAACTCCTTTCAAAGAAGTGGAAGCATCTTCCCTCTGATGCTGTTTATCCAGAAGCTCGTGTAGCCCCCTCAGCTGCTCACCTAGACCCTCAGGTCCTTGGAGTGAGGATCTCATACCCCCAGCGGTCCAGGCTCTGTCCTGTCTCCGGGGCCCACTGCCATCACCACGCCGGGCTTTGTCAGTTCCTAGAACTGCTCTGCATTTGATTACACAATGCAGACTTTTATTTTCCCTACATTATTTTTGCTCTGTACCTTGTTAACCCCTCTCTCAAGTTCTTCTAGAGCTATCTGGCCTTTTGCTTCATCATTTTCTCCCTTGATAGGCTCTGACTTGAGCTACTTTATTTCAGATGTCGTTAAATTCCTGTTCCACGTTCTGTGCAATTGCCCATTTGTGCATATTCCAAGTGTCGGTAAAGCCTCTAGTACTGGAGAAATTGTGGGTTCAGATCTCTGGTGTCTTTTCAGCATGTTACCCAGTACTTTGTCCATAGTGGGGCACAAAGCAAATAATGGGAAATAAATGGTGTCAGTTCTTGAACCTTGACACGTGGATTCATTATATCCACATACTTTAGAAGCTATAGTTGGCATTTATAATCACATCATCATAAAAATTATGATTGTTTTGTTACCACTTATTGAGTCCCTTCATTGCATTTATATTCTGGTGCTTGTATTTTTCTCTAATTCTCATGACAGACCTGCAAAGTAGGTATTATTATCTAGTGTTTTTTTTTTTTTTAAGATTTTATTTACTTATTTGACAGAGAGATCACAAGTAGGCAGAGAGGCAGGCAGAGAGGGAGGGGGAAGCAGGCTTCCTGCTGAGCAGAGAGCCAGATGCGGGGCTCGATCCCAGGACTCTGGAATCATGACCTGAGCTGAAGGCAGAGGCTTAACCAACACTGAGCCACCCAGGAGCCCATTATCTAGTGTTTTTAATAAAGAGACTCCATGAAATTAAGTAATGAACCCAACGTCCCACAGTTAACAACATTGGTGCTAGGGATGGAAAGTCTTATGGGTTTCTTTAAAGCCCTGCATTTTCCACAGGTCCACTCTACAAATCTGGTAATTAGTATCCTATTACCCAGCTACTTCTCTATACTTAAACTGTCCTTCCAAAATACTCTTGGTGTGGGGAGAGGGGGTGCTACATAAAGATTTAAGGAGAATGGGAAAGATGTTTTAAAGAGTACTTATTTAATCTGAAATTTCATTTTATTTTGTTTAATCTTATTTTTTATTCTTTTTTTAATCTAAACTTTTAGTATAGTTACTAGATGCAGCAGCACTGGTACACAGTGAATAAGTAGAACAGTCCCGTTGATTTTTTATCAATGACAAACATCCACACTCAGTAGTACCTTCCAGTACCTGCTCTGTGGAGCTTCTGAATAATCGTGAGTCTGCAGGCTCGCGCTCAGCAGTGGGTGGGCAGGAGCTGAAATCTGCTGAGGGGAGGCATTTCTTGGTAGAGAATAGGCAACTCTTAGGCTTCCTTTTTTCCAACTCTAAAGAGATCTACAACTGACAGAATTTTCTCTAGTCAAGAAAAAAATAAAAAGGAAGGACTTTTTGTGGCTGACAAGTTCCATAGCGGAGCATCGAATGGATGTGGTTTATCTGAGCTCCTGTAGGGAGCTGTTTATATACAAAGAGAAAAATCAGAACCTACTTAGCTACCTGGACTATTTCTTTTTTTAATATAATTTTATTTCTTCTGGTCTGAAAAAAATCAGTCTACAATGGCCCTTGGCCTTTCATGACTCTTGATAGTAGACTCCTAATTGTTTTCTGTTGTTGTGGGGCACTTATTCGTAACGCCAACATTTCCGCAGTGCTATTTAAAATTTGTGTGCAAGTTAATGAGTGGCCTCTCATACATAATGCTATAAGGTTTAATTGTTTACATGTTTCACATTTAATTTGATGCTTCTAATGAATTGGCAAGGAGGACAGATAGCCATTTCTGTCATGGTGTTAGGGTGGGGAAGCTGATGTCCAAGGTTTCAGCTTGACTTTGAGAGTAAATTGAAAATTAGCTGGGACACCAGGTTTTCCTCCAAATTTAAATCAAACTACCTTCTTTATTTCATGGCGACCTTGACGAGTGTTTGCACTAACCAAAATAGCCCTTGCAAACATGAATGCTCACTGGAAAATAGTGAACAGCGGCTGATTGCAAAAACAT